TCTAATTCCCGCCATGGTGACGCAGCAGAGTGATAATCTTCCTCAGGACGATCCATTGGAGAAGACCAAGTATCTCATCTCTGCTCTCAACTACGTCTCTCGCGACCTAACCTTGCCTTCTCACCTTTACGCTTCCGTTTCCTCCATCTACCATCCTCCTCCTGTAAATCCCAATCTCTCCCTGATTTTCTGATTGCTTTTTGTGATTGATAGATCCGATTTATTGCGTTTGCAGGATAATCGATTGACTCCCTATGGAGGTGATTTGATGAGCGAGTTCGACGATGCTCTTTCGAAGCAGCGACCTAACTGTGAATCAGCCTCTCGACTTACCGAATTCAAGGAAATTAGGGCTAAGACTCGTATCCAACACCGATTATCTCAACTTGAAGGTGAATTCTTTGTTTCCATTGGGTTTCTATGAAGCCGATTATCTTGTGAGAGGGGAATGATCACTCTTGTGTGTTCAATCAGGATTACCTTCCACTAGAGGTGAAGAATTGCAGGATAAATGCTTGCTTGAGCTTTATGGGCTTAAGGTATTTGTTATGTGTGACACTAGATTCGTCTCTTTTATTGTGTGCCACAGTTTAGGATGTGATTTCCTTTGACACTGAAGCTGTGTCTTGGTGTCTGGCAGCTACGAGAACTACAATGTAAGGTTCGGGAAGAGGTGAGTGCGGAATACTCGCTGCGTTTGAATTGTGCACATCCCGGAAGCCAACTATTTGACTGGGGCATGATGCGCTTGCCTCACCCAATTTATGGGGTGGGAGATCCTTTTGCTGTGGAAGCTGATGATCAGTTCAGAAAGAAGCGTGAAGCCGAGGTCAATTTGTTTTTTTTCTTCTGATTCTTTCCCAGCTATGTCATCTAAAGCAAATTTCTATGCACCATAGATTTTGTTTTTTTACCTCTACTGATGGTTCTCTGTTGTTTGGGAATTGTTTTGTTAGACGGATTTTATACAAGTTCTGTGTAAAAATTGAACACAAATTCTAGTGCGGTTTATGCTGATATTTTATTTATGATTGTTTAAACTTCTTGCTGATGTGTCCAAAGTCTTTGTTTAGAGGTTATCACGATTAGAAGAAGAGGAGAAGAATCTGATTGAAACGACACAGAGGAAGTTCTTTGCAGAAGTACTCAATGCTGTCCGTGAGTTCCAGTTGCAAATTCAGGTGTCTCAGAGACGCCATAAGCAAAGAAATGATGGTGTCCAGGTATAATACCCCTGACATTATATGTTTGTTGTTGCTCGTTTTTCTTGCATACACCCACACTTGGTGGGGCTTGAACCCAGGACAATAGTTGAGTTATTCTTTAATATTATCAATATACAAAGTTCTTAAAAAAAAATTATTGGTTCCATATATCTACATTATTAAACAGGCCTGGCATGGACGACAAAGGCAAAGAGCTACCCGAGCTGAAAGACTAAGGATCATGGCGCTTAAATCTGATGACCAAGAGGCATACATGAAACTAGCAAAGGAGAGTAAGGACGAAAAGCTAACCATTTTTCTAGAGGAGACAAACAAAATCTTTGTTAGTTTAGGAGCTGCAGTCCAGCGTCAGAAAAATGCAAAACTTTCAGAAGGCATTGAACTACTGGAAGGCTCAGAATCTGCCTTTTCTGAAGTGGATGCTCCATGGAATGAAAGATCCCCAGATATCGAGATCATTGAGTCTGACAATAATGATGATTCTAATGACTTACTAGAAGGCGAGAGGAAGTATAACTTGGCTATCCATTCAATACAAGAAAAGGTATTTGTGATTATTTAAGCACTTAATAGGAGTGTGTTTAACTCAGCTATCAATGTTTTCTTTAACAGGTGACGAAGCAGCCATCCCTTCTTCAAGGTGGGGAACTAAGATCCTACCAATTAGAAGGGCTTCAATGGATGGTCTCTCTATTCAACAACGACTATAATGGAATTTTAGCTGATGAGATGGGTTTGGGAAAGACTATCCAAACAATTGCACTGATTGCGTATCTTCTTGAGAATAAAGATGTGTCTGGCCCTCATTTGATATTGGCTCCAAAAGCTGTGTTACCAAATTGGGAAAATGAGTTTGCAACATGGGCACCCAGGTACAAACAACCTTTTCTCGTTAATTGCATTAGTATTAGATGTTATGTATGAAACTTGCTTCGTTTTTGTCCATTTGACAGCATTGCCGCTTTTCTTTATGATGGACCGAAAGAGAAAAGAAATGAGATAAGAGCAAGGATAGCAGGAGGGACATTTAACGTGTTGATGACCCACTATGATCTTATCATGAGAGATAAAGCATTTTTGAAGAAAATTGACTGGAACTACATGATTGTTGATGAAGGACATCGGCTGAAGAACCATGAATGTGCCCTCGCAAGGACTCTAGTAACAGGGTATGTTTCTGTATGAATCTCTAGGCTTTGATAAGACTATCTAGTTTCCTGATAGAAATCGTTTGGAAAGCCTTCTTACACATTAGCTTGATGAAGTCTGTGGTTAGAAGAACTTCGTTTATCCATCTTTGGGAGGACGTTTTCACTTGACTGTTAATTGATTGTTACTCTGATTTATTTTTAAGGGTGCTTTCTCAGAGAAAATTTGAATACATTTGCTTACACTAATTTTTCCTGGACGCAGCTACCGTATTAAGCGCAGACTTCTATTAACTGGGACGCCCATACAGAATAGCCTGCAAGAACTATGGGCGCTGCTTAATTTTCTCCTTCCTCACATCTTTAACTCGATTCAGAATTTCGAAGAATGGTTTAATTCTCCTTTCGCAGAACGTGGTACTGCCAGTCTTTCAGATGAAGAGGAGCTCTTGATTATTAATCGTCTGCATCATGTGAGTTCATTATGCACCTATCTTTGGTTAAACTGTTTTTAGCAAATTAGCTATGCAAAAAAAAACTCATTGCTAAATTGTTATTGTCATTTTAAGGTTATAAGGCCGTTTCTACTGAGAAGGAAAAAAAATGAAGTTGAGAAATTTCTTCCTGGAAAGACACAAGTCATACTGAAGTGTGATATGTCGGCTTGGCAGAAGTTATACTACAAACAAGTTACAGACGTAGGCAGGGTCGGTCTGCATACGGGTTTGTAGCTTAACTTTAGCTTCTACTTCCTCCAGAATCTTTTCCATCTTTCGGTAAAGAAAATATATATCAAGATGTAAAACTGCTACATTGCTAATAGAGTGCTTATGTGCAGGGAATGGGAAATCAAAGAGTCTGCAGAATCTGTCAATGCAATTGAGAAAGTGTTGTAACCATCCATACCTATTTGTTGGAGGTGACTATAACATGTGGAAGAAGCCGGAAATTGTGAGAGCTTCAGGGAAATTTGAGCTCCTTGATCGCCTCCTTCCAAAACTGAAAAGAGCAGGACACAGAATTCTTCTCTTCTCTCAAATGACTCGTCTCATCGATCTTCTCGAAATTTACTTGTCACTCAATGATTACAAGTACCTGAGACTCGACGGTACCACAAAGACAGACCAAAGAGGGATTTTACTGAAGCAATTCAACGAACCTGACTCTCCCTACTTCATGTTTCTTCTGAGCACACGTGCTGGTGGTCTTGGTTTGAACTTGCAAACTGCAGACACTGTTATTATATTCGACAGCGATTGGAATCCTCAAATGGACCAGCAAGCGGAGGATCGTGCCCATCGGATAGGGCAGAAGAAGGAAGTGAGAGTGTTTGTTTTGGTTAGCATTGGGTCCATTGAAGAAGTAATATTGGAGCGTGCAAAGCAAAAGATGGGCATCGATGCCAAAGTCATACAAGCAGGACTTTTCAACACAACTTCTACAGGTAAAAAGTCGCCAGA